TGTTATTCTTCATATTATTATTAATTGTTTTGGGGTATTATTATTATTATTATTATTATTATTATTTGTTGTTGTTGTTGTTGTTTCACATAAAGTGCATGGTTCCATCCCTTGAAACTTTGGGATTTGTAGTTTCCCATTCTTCTCCGTATTATTATTATTATTATTATTATTATTACATTTATTATTTTATTTTATTATTGTTTTTATTATTACATTTATTATTTTACTCTATTTATTATTGTTGTTATTACATTTATTATTTTACTCTATTTTTATTGGAAGGGTATGCAAGTTTTATGTAAAAATTACAGTTTTATGTAAATATTCAAAAACATTTAACCTCCTGATGCCTCAATTAATATAATTTTTTCTTTTATTTTCTTGTTTACAGTGTTTGTTTTTTTTTTTGTTTTTAGCTGTGATCTTGGTCTAGTTTTTACAGGAGATCCTCTTCCATGTCTCCACTTTCTTTGCAGTATCGATTATTCCCTGCTTATATTGTCTTGTTGTGTGGACATTCAAGGCGATACCTATTGTAGTTTATTTTTAAATATATATTATTTGAAAAATTCCTAAAAATCAGTAGATGAACGAATCTTCCTGAAACTTTGCAGTATCGATAATTCCCTACTTATATTGTCTTGTTGTGCGGACATTCAAGGAGATACGTTTTGTAGTTTATTTTTAAATATATATTATTTGAAAAATTCCTAAAAATCAGTAGATGAACGAATCTTCCTGAAACTTTGCAGTATCGATAATTCCCTACTTATATTGTCTTGTTGTGCGGACATTCAAGGAGATACGTTTTGTAGTTTATTTTTAAATATATATTATTTGAAAAATTCCTAAAAATCAGTAGATGAACGAATCTTCCTGAAACTTTGCAGTATCGATAATTCCCTACTTATATTGTCTTGTTGTGTGGACATTCAAGGCGATACCTATTGTAGTTTATTTTTAAATATATATTATTTGAAAAATTCCTAAAAATCAGTAGATGAACGAATCTTCCTGAAACTTTGCAGTATCGATAATTCCCTACTTATATTGTCTTGTTGTGCGGACATTCAAGGAGATACGTTTTGTAGTTTATTTTTAAATATATATTATTTGAAAAATTCCTAAAAATCAGTAGATGAACGAATCTTCCTGAAACTTTGCAGTATCGATAATTCCCTACTTATATTGTCTTGTTGTGCGGACATTCAAGGAGATACGTTTTGTAGTTTATTTTTAAATATATATTATTTGAAAAATTCCTAAAAATCAGTAGATGAACGAATCTTCCTGAAACTTTGCAGTATCGATAATTCCCTACTTATATTGTCTTGTTGTGCGGACATTCAAGGAGATACGTTTTGTAGTTTATTTTTAAATATATATTATTTGAAAAATTCCTAAAAATCAGTAGATGAACGAATCTTCCTGAAACTTTGCAGTATCGATATTCCCTGCTTATATTGTCTTGTTGTGTGGACATTCAAGGCGATACCTATTGTAGTTTATTTTTAAATATATATTATTTGAAAAATTCCTAAAAATCAGTAGATGAATGAATCTTCCTGAAACTTTGCAGTATCGATTATTCCCTGCTTATATTGTCTTGTTGTGTGGACATTCAAGGCGATACCTATTGTAGTTTATTTTTAAAAGTATATTATTTGAAAAATTCCTAAAAATCAGTAGATGAACGAATCTTTCTGAAACTTTGCAGGATCGATACCTTGCTTGTAGTTGTCTTGTTGTGCGGACATTCAAGGCGATATTTTTCGTAGTTTATTTTTAAATATATATTATTTGAAAAATTCCTAAAAATCAGTGGATGAACGAATCTTTCTGAAACTTTGCAGTATCGATAATTCCCTACTTATATTGTCTTGTTGTGTGGACATTCAAGGTGATACCTTTTGTAGTTTATTGTTAAATATATATTATTTGAAAAATTCCTATAAAACAGTAGATGAACGAATCTTTCTGAAACTTTGCAGGATCGATACCTTGCTTATATTGTCTTGTTGTGCAGAAATGCAAGAATATACATTTTGTAGTTTATTTTTAAATAAATATTATTTGTAAATACTTTGAAAACTTCCTAAAAAATCAGTGGACGAATGAATCTTTCTGAAACTTTGCAGTATCGATAATTCCCTACTTATATTGTCTTGTGCGGACATTCAAGGCGATATCTTTCATAGTTTATTTTTAAATATATATTATTTGAAAAATTCCTAAAAATCAGTAGATGAACGAATCTTTCTGAAACTTTGCAGGATCGATACCTTGCTTGTAGTTGTCTTGTTGTGCGGACATTCAAGGCGATACATATTGTAGTTTATTTTTAAAAATATATTATGTGTAAATACTTTGAAAAATTCCTAAAAAATCAGTAGATGAACGAATCTTTCTGAAACTTTGCAGTATCGATAATTCCCTGCTTATATTGTCTTGTTCTGCGGACATTCAAGGCGATACATATTGTAGTTTATTTTTAAAAATATATTATGTGTAAATACTTTGAAAAATTCCTAAAAAATCAGTGGATGAACGAATCTTCCTGAAACTTTGCAGTATTGATAATTCCCTGCTTATATTGTCTTGTTGTGTGGACATTCAAGGGGATATCTTTTTTTGTTTATTTTAAAAAATATATTATTTGTAAACACTTTGAAAAATTCAAAAAAATCAGTAGATGAACGAATCTTTCTGAAACTTTGCAGGATCGATACCTGGCTTATGTTGTCTTGTTGTGCAGAAATGCAAGGAGATATGTTTCGTAGTTTATTTTTAAATATATATTATTTGTAAACACTTTGAAAAATTCCTAAAGATCTGTAGATGAACGAATCTTTCTGAAACTTTGTTTTGTAGTTTATTTTTAAATATATATTATTTGTAAAATACTTTGAAAAATTCCTAAAAAATCAGTGGATGAACGAATCTTTCTGAAACTTTGCCGGATCGATACCCTGCTTATGATGTCTTGTTGTGCGGACATTCGAGGTGATATCTTGTGTAGTTTATTTTTAAATATATATTAATTGTAAACACTTTGAAAAATTCCTAAAAATCAGTGGATGAACAAATCTTTCTGAAACTTGACAAGCTTAAATTTGTAAACGTTGCCTACAATCGTCCCAAGTTTCATCCTGATAGCTGTAAAAATGACGGAGAAACGAGCCTCGAAAGTTTCCCCACACCTCTTTCTTTTCTTTCTTTCCTTCCTTTTCTCCCTTCCCTTCTTCTCGTTTTGCCCCAAATGACGGCTCGCCTTTGGCATCGTTTCCCAGCCGCATAATTAACCCTGTTGTTATGTTCCTCCTCCGGTTGCAAAAGGAAAATAAATTAAGAAAAATACCCGGAGCTGTTTTTCCGACAATTAACCTTGTCATGCTTTGTGCTCACGAGATTTAATGGCAGGTTCCTGGCCTTGTTTGTGTGGTTGCAGAGGCATTCGGGTTTGTTTTGGCCAAACGGGGCGGATGGGCCTCTGCCGGGAGTGCTTTAGTGACAGAATGGGCTTGGAAGGAAAGGAAGGGATGTGGAGAAGTGGGCTCTGCTGGGAGTGTTTTAGTGACAGAGTGGGCTAGGACTAGATGACCTCTAGGGTTCCCTTTCAACTCAGGAAGGAAGAATTGAAAGAGGGAAGGAAATGGAAGAATAGCAAGAAGGAGGAAAGAAGGGAAAAAGGGAGGGAAGGAAGGAAGGAAAAGAGGGAGGAAAGAAAGAAGAGAAGGAAAAGAGAGAGAAAAGAAGGGAGAGAGGAAGGAAAGAGGGAAGGAAGGAAGAAGCAAGAGAGAGGAAAAAAGAAGGGGGAAAGGGAGGAAGGAAGAAAGAGGAAGGAAAGGAAGGGAAGTTATAGATAAAAGAAGGAAAAGGGGGATAGAATGAAGAAAGGAATGGAGAGAGGGAAGGAAAGAAATAATTCCAATGGAGGAATGGAAGAAGAGAGGAAGGAGGAAAAGGGGAGGAAGGAAGGAAGGAAAGAGGGGAAGGAAGAGAAAGAAAAGGAGGAGAAGGAAAGAAGGAAGAAAGGAAGGAAAGAGGGAAGAAAGAAAGAAGGAGGAGGAAAAGAAGGAAAGGGGGAAAGGGAGGGAAGGAAGAGAAGGGAAGGGAAGAAAGAAAGAAGAGAAGGAAGAGAAGGAGAAATAAAGAAGAAGAAGAGGAAGAAAGAGGGAAGGAAAGGAAGAAAAGAAAGAAGGAGGGAAAAAAAAGAAAGGAAAAGGGAAGGGAAGGAAAGAAGAAAGAGAAGGGGGAAGGAAGGAAGGGATTTGTATAGAGAGAGAAAAGGAGAAGAGGGGAAAGAATGAAGAAAGGAATGGAGAGAGGGAAGGAAATAATTCCAGTGGAGGAATAGAAAGAGGGAGTAAAGGAAGGGAAGAAAGGAGTGGGGAATGGAAGGGATTGTTACAGAGAAAAGAAGGAGAAAAGAATGGAAAAAGAGAAGGAAATAATTCCAATGGAGGAATAGAAAGAGGGTGGAAAGAAGAGGAAAAAGGAAGGAAGGAAGGAAAGAAGGGAGGAATGGAATGAAGGGATTGCTAGAGATTAAAGAAGGAGAAGAGGGAAAGAATGAAGAAAGGAATGGAGAGACGGAAGGAAATAATTCCAATGGAGGAATAGAAAGAGGGAGGAAAGAGGGAGAGGAAGAAGGAGAAGGAAGGAGGAAGTAAATATAAGAAAGGAAAGAGTTGCTATGGAAGAATAGAGGGAGGGCGGAAAGAAGATAGAAAGAGAAGGAAGGAAATAATTGTAATGGAGGAAGAGAGGAAAGATAAAGGGAGGAATGGATAGAAAGAGAAAGAAGAGAAAGGAAGGGACGAGGGAAGGGATAGTAAAGAAGGGAAGAGGAAGGGAAGAGGGAAGGAAGTGAGGGAGGAAAAGGTACAGATGCTCGTTTCAATAACGCGCTGGCCAAGAGATCTAGTTCCCCAAGGGCCCACTCGTTGACCCTTTTCCGTTGTTTCTTTTTCTCTTCCTTCCTTCCTTCGCTGCAGCGCTTCTGCGGGAGGAAGTTTCCCAGCTGCAGGAGGAAGTGCACTTGCTGCGTCAGATGAAGGAGATGCTGACCAAGGACCTGGAGGAGAGCCACGGGGGGAAGTCCACCGAGATCCTCTCGGCCACCGAGCTCAAGGTCCAGCTGGCCCAGAAGGAGCAGGAGCTCAACAGGGCCAAGGAAGCCCTCCAAGGTAGCCCACTTCCTCTCCCACTTCCTCTTCTTCGCTTCCACTTCCTCTTCTTCCTCTCCCTTCCTCCTCCTCTTCTGCTATCTTTTCCACTCCCCCTTCCTCTTTGCCCTCCACTTGCCCTACATTTCCTCTCTCACACTTCCTCTTCCACTCCCACTTCCTCTTCCACTTCCTCTTCTGCTTCCACTTCTTCTTCTCCCTCTCCCACTTCCTCTCCTTCTCCCGCTTCCACCTCCTCTTCTGCTATCTCTTCCACTCCCTCTTTGCCCTCCATTTCCTCTCTCCCACTTCCTCTACCACTCCCACTTCCTCTTCACTTCCTCTTCTGCTTCCACTTCTTCTTCTCCCTCTCCCACTTTCTCTCCTTCTCCCGCTTCCACCTCCTCTTCTGCTATCTCTTCCACTCCCCCTTCCTCTTTGCCCTCCACTTCCTCTCTCCCACTTCCTCTACCACTCCCACTTCCTCTTCCGCTTCCACTTCTTCTTCTCCCTCTCCCACTTCCTCTCCTTCTCCCGCTTCCACCTCCTCTTCTGCTATCTCTTCAACTCTCCTTTTCTCTTTGCCCTCCACTTCCTTTCTCCCACTTCCTCTCCAGCTTCCACTTCCTCTTCCACTTCCGCTTCCACTTCTTCTTCTCCCTCTCCCACTTCCTCTCCTTCTCCCACTTTTTCACCCCCTCTTCTGCTATCTCTTCCACTCCCTCTTTCTCTTTGCCCTACATTTCCTCTCTCACACTTCCTCTACCACTCCCACTTCCTCCCCCGCTTCCACTTCTTTTTCTCCCTCTCCCACTTCCTCTCCTTCTCCCGCTTCCACCTCCTCTTCTGCTATCTTTTCCACTCCCCCTTTCTCTTTGCCCTACATTTCCTCTCTCACACTTCCTCTACCACTCCCACTTCCTCTCCCGCTTCCACTTCTTTTTCTCCCTCTCCCACTTCCTCTCCTTCTCCCACTTCCACGTCCTCTTCTGCTATCTCTTCCACTCCCCCTTTCTCTTTGCCCTACATTTCCTCTCTCACACTTCCTCTTCCACTCCCACTTCCTCTCCCGCTGCCACTTCTTTTTCTCCCTCTCCCACTTCCTCTCCTTCTCCCACTTCCACGTCCTCTTCTGCTATCTCTTCCACTCCCCCTTTCTCTTTGCCCTACATTTCCTCTCTCACACTTCCTCTTCCACTCCCACTTCCTCTCCCGCTGCCACTTCCTCTTCTGCTTGCACTTCTTCTTCTCCCTCTCCCTCTTCCTTCTCCCGCTTCCACCTCCTCTTCTGCTATCTTTTCCACTCCCCCTTTCTCTTTGCCCTACATTTCCTCTCTCACACTTCCTCTACCACTCCCACTTCCTCTCCCGCTTCCACTTCTTTTTCTCCCTCTCCCACTTCCTCTCCTTCTCCCACTTCCACGTCCTCTTCTGCTATCTCTTCCACTCCCCCTTTCTCTTTGCCCTACATTTCCTCTCTCACACTTCCTCTTCCACTCCCACTTCCTCTTCCACTTCCTCTTCTGCTTCCACTTCTTCTTCTCCCTCTCCCACTTTCTCTCCTTCTCCCGCTTCCACCTCCTCTTCTGCTATCTCTTCCACTCCCCCTTCCTCTTTGCCCTCCACTTCCTCTCTCCCACTTCCTCTACCACTCCCACTTCCTCTTCCGCTTCCACTTCTTCTTCTCCCTCTCCCGCTTCCCCTCCTTCTCCCGCTTCCACCTCCTCTTCTGCTATCTTTTCCACTCCCCCTTTCTCTTTGCCCTACATTTCCTCTCTCACACTTCCTCTACCACTCCCACTTCCTCTCCCGCTTCCACTTCTTTTTCTCCCTCTCCCACTTCCTCTCCTTCTCCCACTTCCACGTCCTCTTCTGCTATCTCTTCCACTCCCCCTTTCTCTTTGCCCTACATTTCCTCTCTCACACTTTCTCTTCCACTCCCACTTCCTCTCCCGCTGCCACTTCCTCTTCTGCTTGCACTTCTTCTTCTCCCTCTCCCTCTTCCTTCTCCCGCTTCCACCTCCTCTTCTGCTATCTTTTCCACTCCCCCTTTCTCTTTGCCCTACATTTCCTCTCTCACACTTCCTCTACCACTCCCACTTCCTCCCCCGCTTCCACTTCTTTTTCTCCCTCTCCCACTTCCTCTCCTTCTCCCGCTTCCACCTCCTCTTCTGCTATCTTTTCCACTCCCCCTTTCTCTTTGCCCTCCACTTTCCTCTCTCACACTTCCTCTACCACTCCCACTTCCTCTCCCGCTTCCACTTCTTCTTCTCCCTCTCCCACTTCCTCTCCTTCTCCCGCTTCCACCTCCTCTTCTGCTATCTTTTCCACTCCCCCTTTCTCTTTGCCCTACATTTCCTCTCTCACACTTCCTCTTCCACTCCCACTTCCTCTTCCACTTCCTCTTCTGCTTCCACTTCTTCTTCTCCCTCTCCCA